ACCTGTGGTCTAACTTGGTAATATTTAAAAGCAGCTTTTCGGTAGCCATGGTGAAAAAGTCCTGTGCTGAAGTTGTGAGGAAGATAACCCTAAGTACTTAAATATGAGTAAAACTTTTATTACTCTCTTTTCAGCAATGATGTAGACATGGAAACAGATCACTACTCCAATGGGGTTGCTGAGACTTCGTCCAATGGCTTCCTAAATGGTAGTTCTAAACATGATCACGAAATGGAAGAATGTGACACAGAAATGGGTCTGCAGTGATATTTCTTACATTTTTATTAAGTGATGGCAACAAGGTTATGTTTTTACTTGCAATGCTTCCCAACTTGAAAACTAGGGATATTGGCTCAAATCTTAATTTGTTTGTTTGTTTGTTTCACTGTTACTAGATGTATATCTTATAACTCCTGATTTAGGTGGTCAAATGTCAGGTGAGAACAGGTGAAATTGCTAACTCATGGATACTGAAGCTAGCATCTATTTCTAAGGAAGTGCCTTTGAGAAGAAACATCCTATTGTGTAGCACGCCTGGGTTAGGGTTGGCAAATTGCTTCTCCCTCTTCCTCTAGTCCTCTTACCAGTCATAGTTCTCATGGCATCTTTGCACTTGACAGTAAGAGTAGAAATTCCAAATCACTTATATTGAAGAATGCAAATTGCTAATATTAAATGCTGAAGAACAGAGCTATATTTGAGAACTGAGATGTGAAAAAAGAAAAAAAAATTTCCACCAAAAAAATAGCCTGTTTTACATAGTTGTGGTCTAAAAAATAACTTCGTTTTACTTAACCTGCTTCATATGCAGTCATGCCTGTTGACATTAGTGACACCTGAGTATTTAAATACCCTCTGATTGCCAGCACCCTATAAAAACCTAGTTTATTCTGTCAGTTATGGTGCTAGGTGTCCCTGTCCACTAAAGGCAGTCAGATCACTTAAGAGCACCCAGGCTTGGAGCTTAGACAATGGTTGTTATTGCTGGCTGTGTCTGAAGAACTGGAGGAATGCAGCCCAGCCATTTCTGGAGTTGCAAAACTATCTTCTCAAACAATTGATTTAACCAGACATCAATTAATAAGTAGTTTAAATGCAATGTGACACTCAGGACATAGCTGGTAGAGTTTCAGAATGCGGTAGTACTTACAGATTTCTATGAATGCCTCGCAGTTCTGAGGGCATGTGCTGCTGCTGATCATGCAGCTTTGCTGGTAAATACTAGGTAACTGTTGAAAAGCAAATATAATTCTGTTACAGCCCTGGAGGGGGGAGATTCAAATTGCCAGACTGTTTTTCCTGCATTACGCTCTGAAACGGGGTAATAACAAGGCCTCATTTCTGTGACAGAAAAAACAAAACACTTCTTTACTCTCTTGCAGCCTTTTCTACAGAGGCTTGCTGTGACAGGCATGAAGCAGCTGCACAGGACGCAGAGTTGTTTGTGTTGTGTTTTGGGTTTGTTTTTTTTTTTTTAATGTAGTTTTTTTCTGCCTTTGGAAAGCCATGTCCTAGATTGGGCTGCAGCTAACAACAAACACCACTGCTTGAAGACTTGTGGGTGCTTCACCTTTGTAAAAAAGAAATGTGGCTCCTCAACCTACATTGTTTACTCCCCACAGTTTGGTGTTTTTTTGGTGATTTTTTTTTCTTTTTGAAATATTTATATATACCCCTTAGTGCTGTGTATGTAATGTTAAGTAGGCAGATTTTTTTCCCAGAGGTGATATGCTCACATTTAAGAAAAAAAAAAAAAAGTGGCCACTTATAAATCCTCATTTGAAATAGTGGTCAAAATACTTCACTAGATGGCAATGTTAAAATCAGAAAGAAGAATGGTTTTGTAATTAAAGTGTACATCAAAATTCTGATGGAAAACTTGATTCCTTTGATGAAAAAAGGCAAGGAATTGATGCTTTATTTTTTAACAGGTTGCTTTAGTTGTAAATTTAAAAAAGGTAGAACTTTCAGAGAAGCCAAGGGCTGATCTACTCTTCATAAACTGCATTGGTATCTTTTAAAATCAGTAGCACTGGGGAATATTGTAGCAACTAGTAAAGAAATCGATTGTAGTGTTCTGCTTGATTACAGAAGAAGCCTGAAATGTCCAAATTATTACACTAATATATTCTACAAGGAGTATGAACAGTCTAAATGGTAGTCTTGTAGCAACATCCATCATGGCTGTTTGGGAAGTTCAGGGGTTTTTACCCTCTATTAGCAGTTCCGGATTTGGTGTGTCTTTAGAAGTGCAATGCCAAAGAATTAAAAAGGTAGAACTGTGCAGACTTTTATTGCTGTTGTTACTCATTTTAAACTCCTATAAAATTTTAAGGTAAAATTTGGTTTATAGTCTAGCTGTTAATTTTTAACTTACTGCAAAATAAACAGCATGTGTAGACAGCCTTTGATGTTAGTTAACTAAGCCTCTTAATGTTTATAAAGGAACAATTCAGCAGTGCTCAGTATAGGAGTACGTTACACCAAGGTCTCTGGCCCAATGTGCTTTCTCTCTGAGAAGGCAGATGTGTTTTGAGTGAAATTGGGGCAGATTCTCTAGATCCATAGATTATTATTGTCAGCTCTATTAGTGGTGATGATGATGATATCATTTTTGCAGAAGTAGATTCAAGTCAGTTAAGACGTCAGCTATGTGGCGGCAGCCAAGCGGCTATTGAAAGAATGATCCATTTTGGAAGAGAATTGCAAGCAATGAGTGAGCAACTAAGAAGAGAATGTGGCAAAAACACAGCGAATAAGAAAATGCTGAAGGTATGTTTAATCTTGAAGTTGTGGTGTTAAGGTGAATCTCTGCTGCCTGGCAGAAACTTTGCACAGCATGCGGCATTGCAATACTGTTCTGCTTTAACTTCTGCAGTTCTTTTGTCTGAGAGCAGTATTCTAATCAGCTGTGGTGTGGTGCTGTCTCCTGTCTTGTCTGTGTAGCATATTCACAGGGAGCATAATTTCATACTGTAACAAAATTAAAACCAGAGATATGAATTTAGGACTTCCCTCTCATTTCTGACCATGTAGCTTGGCCTCTTGAATCAAAGTGCCGTTTGCAGCTCTAAGGATCAATGAACCGCAAGAAAGAGCATTGATACAGATGCCTAGAACGCTTTTTAGTACTCTGTGTCTTAATTAGTTTACCTTGATTTGGGACTGCTCTGGAAAAGAATTCCCCTGCCAAAGACTGACTGCATGCAATTTTCAGCCTGTCTTCTCTTTCCTCAGTGGTTATTAAAATACCGCTCACTTCTGTCTTTCCATTGGGAAAACCACTGCTCGCTTAAAATGGAACAAGTTTGGTTACAATTTCTTTTTATGCTTTTGTACTGATGGACACTGACAATCACCTTTGATTCTGAATCAAAATGGGTGAAGAAAACAGTCCTTGTTTTCACTAGTAGAATACAGCTGTTGAGATGTAATAAAAATCGTCTTTCCCCAGGATGCATTCAGTTTACTCGCATATTCAGATCCCTGGAGCAGCCCGGTTGGAAATCAGCTTGACCCGATACAAAGAGAACCTGTGTGCTCTGTACTTAATAGTGCAATACTAGGTAAGGAAGGGCTGGTGGTTTTCACGCGCGGTGCAGGGCGCCTTTCGTTCCAGACAGGTAGCACTACTGCTCACCACGCGTCGTTTGCTGGGCTGGCCGAGTGATTAACAAAGTCTAGCGATGTTACGGTGCGCTCCTCTAGTATAGGAGGGGACATATTAATGGAACAGATGTCGTCGTTGCTCAAAGCAAGAACGGGCCTCTTCAATAATGGTGCTATGCAAGGGATTTGAAAATGTCGCTTTGTTGCTCCTGCTGTCTTGCTGTAAGAGCAAACTTTGCAAGTAAACACAGGAATTTTGAAATGATTGATTTAGGCAAGCTTAAAATTTAAGCTTTCAGTGTATTCCTATGAAATGAATCAGGTATTCTAACTGCCACTGTGATTCTTTTTCAGAGACTCACAATCTGCCAAAGCAACCACCGCTTGCCCTAGCCATGGGACAAGCGTCACAGTGTCTAGGATTGATGGCTCGATCAGGAATCGGATCCTGCGCGTTCGCCACAGTGGAAGACTACCTACACTAGCTATGCATTTGAAGATCTGAGAGGTGGTGTGGCATATTCAACATGAAAAGTAGACCAGCTCTGCTGACTGGAATTTGGAATTTTAATTATGTACTAAGGACAAGTCTGTCGCTTTATGTTGCTTCCTAGTTTACAGCATGATGCAAATGATTTCTAACTTAGTGTTAGGAGAAAATTTCCATCTTTAAACCTCTTAGACAACTAAGAGTTGAAAATATCACTGATAATGTCAGACATCCAAATTGACAAGTACCAATCCTTTAAACGATTGTCCAAAACAAACCAAAAATCCTGCTCCCTTGCGGTGGGACGGAAGAATAGAAAACATGGATGTATTAGCATGTGGGTGATGTCAGTGTCAAGCAGGATGACTTGCCAACCTCCACCCCCATTGTTACATAGTTCAATCAGTGTAATTTGCAAAATGCATAAACACCTGATGGTTTGGATATATAGTGTTGATGGGAAGAAATGATATTTTTTAATGTGTACTGTAAAACTTGAATTACTCAGGAGCTGAGTGAATATGTTTGTTGCTACTTACAATCCCAACCTGTTGATCTTAGTAGTTTTTTGTTTTAACATGGTCTTTTCAACTTTGTTTCCTTGTTTAACTACAGACAGCTTCTGTTGTGTAGACTCACCAGTTTAACTGTTGTATTATAACAGTATTACATGTCAACACAGTGTGGTTATGACCTATTTATATAAAAACCAAATATTTAGTCAATTTACAGTCTTAATTTAATCTTTGTACACCTTGCATTTTTAAAAGTGCTTAAATAGTACTATATTGCAATAAAATGTAGTGATACCATAATTAACCAGCCATTAAAAACTTACTTCTACATACATGGTAGCATGGACTTGTATGCTACGTTTTCTTGGTTCTAGAGTTCTACCCTAGGACAGCGGTTCTCATGTAGACCTGTGAATTCAGAACGTTGGCTTGCTGGTCCAACTGGGGATGCCACTTCCCTGCATCAGAGCACTGCAGCAGCTGAGCTCTCAAAAGTTAAAGGTTTAATGTTCTTGCCCCAAAGCAAGCCTAGCTGGCAGTGCAAAATCAAGGCATTGAGGGAAGCTTATTCAGTACTGCCTGAAGACAGGGAAAAACAACTCTTATTCCTTGAAAGTAATCATTGGGCTGGGCAGAAGTGTCCTGCTGTGTGAGCTGACTTATGATTCTGATATTAGGATACAGCCTTTCTTTAGATATGCAAATAACTGAAAAAGCAGGAATAATAGATCGCTATTAGAAAAGCAGCATCCAGAACAGTAAGTACAACACCATTCATCTTTATTCTCTGCGAAGGAGCTGCCTTGTGGAGGCAGCTCTACAAGCCTGCTCTTAACACCAGCTGTTCTAAATCAGTATTAAGGACACACAGTCACTGCCCTGGCCCAGCTGTTCCTTAGCTTCCCCAGCCACTTCTGAAGGGGGCAGGGAGGGAAAAGAAGAGAAGAGGCAAGTCAGTCTGTTTGTGAAGGTTAGTGCCTTCTGGTGGCTGTTGGCTAGTGCTGAAAGCAAAGCAATGATGGGAGAGAAGTGGGGAAACAAACCACCTTTGTTGTGTTGAGAGACTAACTTTCAGTAAAAACGTCCTTAATAGCATCTTCTGAAAAAACAGTCTTCATACTTGATTTTTAAGCTGTGTTGCAAGCCAAATTTTTTTAAACCTTGTTGCTCTCTCCTTTTTTTCTTGCCCTTAAAAAAAAAAAAAGCAGTTAGTTCGTTACCATTTTTTTTCTTAGCCCATCTACTGGAGAAGCAGCAATCCATTGATTACTGCAGGATTTCAGAACAAAAGACAAGAACTGACTGGAAGGCTGATGAGAGAACCTTCCTGTCATCTTTCTTTTCCATACAACAGGGGCTTCCACCGGCCAGGGGTACCAACTTGCACCACTCTCCTTCAGAAGGAGGTACAGCAGTGCTTGCACTTCTGAAGCACAACTGAGAAGCAGACTCTGCCTGCTCAGGATCAGTAACTTTTGCCCTCTAGTGTCCACGAGCCTCACAGACTGTGCTTGCGTAGCTGTAACATCATTTTTTTATGAGGACAAACAGGCCACTATTTCCCTGTGCTCATGCAGAAGTTCTTGATCTTGGCATCCCTGCTTTAAGTTTTAGACATATCTGAAATGACTTCCAACAGCTCAGAGGTTGTAGGCTGAAACAACACTTAGTAAAGTATTTATTTCAACAAATAAAGATGGCTCTAAGCCCATATGGTGTTTCTTAATGTACCAAAAATGAAGTAATTTTTTCAAGTTCTGTCTTGCACATCCTCCCCACTGGAGCACTCGCTACGCCCACTCAGGCTGTAGTGCCCTGCTGCCCTTCCCTTACTGTAGGGTTCTGTGACTTAAAAAGTAGCAACATACATGGGAAAGCTTTTTTTTTTTTTTTAAATGTACTTTTTAAACCACATATGCATAAAGTAGTACCGACATAACTGTTTATACTCACCCCAAGATTTGTCCACAAACTGAACTGCAGCTTTTTTAACTGGGTTTTTCTTGTTTTCAAGGGAAAAAAAATCATTTGCTGAAATAGAGATGAGTGTTAATTACTAAATTTAACCCAGACAAATCTAGAAGCAGACCCACCTAAGGAAAACTGCTTACCCTGTGCCCGGTTGGCATCTGGTCCATAGAGATGAGTGTTTAAAAAGTCTTTGGCGAGCTGTTGGTGGAGGCCTGTTATACTCTGATCTTTTAAGCACACAGCTGTATAGTTTCCTTTTGACCTAGTTAAATAAAGAGACGTAAATCCCTGTAGCATAGTTATGGAACCCAGAACAACAGATAACACTAGGCAGTCAGTGCTTTGCTGCCTGAGCACAACAGCAGCTGGTGCTGGTTTCGGATGCTCAAGCCAAGCTTTGTAGCAGCATTAACAAAAAACAAAACTGGACCAAGACTCTCAACCTGTCAACATATGCCTTTACGTGCCCCGAGTGGTTCCTTGGGAGTCTCAAACTAGTCCTGCCAGAAGCTAGTGCAATTCCTCTACAGGGACATCAGTGACAAAGAAAGGGAAAAAAAAAAGACTGAAATGCAGGAATTCAGTGCTCAACAACCAGACCTGTAGCAGCACAGAACAAAATGTCTACTGCTGTGCTAATGAATGCCCAGTTACCTCATAGCAGTTACATATACATAAAAATTATTTAATTATATGTATGTGTGTGCATATATATATATTTTACAAGCGTCCTGTACCAGAGGCCTACTAAAGGTGCTTTTAGCACATAAATACACTTTCAATCAGAGGAAGAGCAGGGGGAATGCCCAAGTGAAGAAGAGTGCATCCACACAGTGACAGAAGAGCTGCTGTGATGCCCCCTCCCAAGCAGATGGAAGCCCCAGGGACAGGCAGCCTCCATCATCTGCTCCCACCATACCTGGCACTCTTTCTTTGCTTGGCTTTCTTCACCTGCCTTTGGGCTCGGCCTCGTCTCTGCTTCACAGCCTGGCCTTGTCTCTGCTTCACAGCCCCACCTCCATGGTGCTTACCTGAAGTAAATTTAATGGAAAACAGAAGAAATTTCCCAAGCATTATGAATCAAGAGCTGCAAGTAAGTGAAAAAGGAACAGGAATGAAACAATTAGGCTGTGAAAAATAAGGTGCCTTTAGTTAACTCCAACAGGCCTTTTTCAGAAGGTCTGACTAGCAAGAGCATTGCCCTCACTGAAGGGCTGCAAGAGGGAGGGGAAGAAGCACGCCTCAGGGGAGCCACCCAGAGTACTGCTAGTCAGCCTTCCCCTTCCTTGGCATCCACAACACAAGATTCATCACAGGACAAAAATTCAGTGCAACCCAACAGCCACGAGTAACAAACAAAGGGGAGCCCAGCCTCGGTTTCATTCTCGCCACTATGGAGGACTGAGTGTTCAAAGCATCGTCCTGTGCTCACCTCTTGCTTACGGCAAGAGAGTTTTTTAAAACAGCAATAAAAGGAAGAAAAAGTAGCAGTTGCACCACCCAGCTCTATAATTCTGTGAGGTATGGACGAGAGAATTGTTTAAAAACACTTTTTTTTTTTTTCTAAAGTACTCTGAAGTACAGATGAAGAGGGCCAGAAAACGGCAGTCATGAATACTCTAGAGTCTTGGTTTTCTGGTTCAGAATTTGAAAAGAGTTACCTAATTTTTTACAGATGCTACTAAATCACAGTATATGTGAAGCATCGAGGCGATTAACAACTCCATCTAGGAATGGCCTTCGATATTTAGCATTTGTTTAAGTTACAATCTCCCTCTGGTAATCCTTGCTTTTTCTATTATACCACCTGCCCGTTATTTCCTTCAACACCTCGGGCTATTTTAACAGAAATCACTGTACGGCAAACGACTTCGGTAACAAGTCGCGGGAATCGCATTAAACGCGACTTCTTTAGATTCTTCCTCAGACACTTTTCCTCGGCAACAGACGAGGCGTGCAGCCTGCCCCGAGTCTCAGACTTTGACGAGGTCTCCGCGCCGCAGCTCTAGCGGAGTGAGCCGTGGCCTACCTGGGTCAGCTGCCGCAGCCTGCCCTTCGCCTCTGTGCGGGAAGGAGAAAGCAAGAGGTTACTTTTCCAGTTGACACCCCCTTTCCTTTACTCGAAGCCCGTGTCCTCCCCGGACCCGAAGGAGCTCGCCGCCGGCTGGGCAGCGCTCCCCCCCCGTACCCCCCCCGCCCTCACCGGTCGGTCGGCGCGGCGGCCAGCTCCTGCAGCAGCGCCTCGGGGAGCAGCTTCCGTTTCTGCGGGGGGAGAGGGGAGTTACCGGGGCGGCGGAACGACGACACACCGGGGACGGGGGGGGCGGGGGCGGCCCCCGCCGTACCGTACCTTCTGCTCCGCGAACAGCTCCTGCCGCCGCCGCCGCTTCTCCCTCAGCAGCTCCCGGTGCCTGCGGGAAGGCGGGAAGCGCCGTCAGGG